TTGCATTTGATATAGCGCTTTTCACGTTTTCTAGACGTCTCAAAAGCACTTCACAGAATATCCTGTAATGTGAATTGACTGTATATTTGTGGGTGAAACGCGGCAGCCAATTGCGTACAGCAGTTTCCCACAAACAGTCGTGGATTGAAGTGACCAAATTGTTATTACNTTTTTTCCTTGAGGGATTATTATTAGGTGTGTGGAGTAAGGAAACTTGCCCAAGGTTTCGCCCTGCCGGGAATCAAACCCAGGTCTCTTGCTTGCAAAGCGAGTGCTCTAACCACTGAGCTACAGGACTCCACATCATGTGCAGCTACACGGATGTACTGCTATTATGCAGATATCAGTGAATTAAGGTTTGTGTTATCCAAAAGGTGATTTTGCCAAACAATTATATTGGGCGTTTGCAAAGTCATCACATAGGAATCGTTCTGAGAATACATCATTTACGGAATCAAAAAAACCGTGATTACAAATCACAGAGTATTGCCATCGGGAAAACACATGCTGTTATTATTATGTTATTATATATGTTAATCTGTTATTATATTATATGTTATCTGTTATTTATATATTATTATATATGTTAGTCTGTTATATTATTATATATGTTATCTGTTTTATATTATTATATATGTTAGTCTGTTATGTTATTATGTATATGTTGTTATTATTTTATTATATATGTTAGTCTGTTATATTATTATGTATATGTTATCTGTTATTATTATTTTATTATATATGTTAGTCTGTTATATTATTATGTATATGTTATCTGTTATTATTATTTTATTATATATGTTAGTCTGTTATATTATTATGTATATGTTATCTGTTATTATTATTTTATTATATATGTTAGTCTGTTTCAGTATTTGACACTTTGTTCCCCACCGATGTTTTTCTCTTCTAATTTTTCTCTCCTTCTCAGGCAGATGGTACCGTGATTTAAAAACTCATCTGAAAGGCTAGCACTTCTGGCAATGAACCACTCCCCTCAGAAATGCATTGGAGCATTTCCCTGCACTATGAACTCATTTGCACTATTTGAACCCACAAAATCCTGACTTAGAGGTAAAAGTTCAACCCAGTTTGTGCAATGGATGAATATCTGCAGTTTTTATGAAATTGCCTTTTGGGGATCAGCAAAACGTATATTTGGAAAAAGAAACGCCTTACCTTCTATCTGAGGAGGAGTCACTATTTGGTCATTTGACATCTGTCAAGAGGCAAATCTGAGCTCTAGTCAGGTGGATAGCAGGTATCAGGAACTCCCTGCGATCCTCCTGGTGAGCAACACAGCTCAGGATGAAATGTATGAAAGCATTGCCACCATAATGCTTCCCACAGCTTGGTTACACATTGAGTGATGGTCCTGGGGCAGGTGTGGAGCTGGAGATGTAGCTGCTTACCACTCTATATACCAATGTATATATAAATCAAGGTGGATACCAAGGACTGCATATATGAACCTGTGTTTACAAACACAGATTCCACTTAACACCTTCCATCAGTTTTTATCTTAAACCTCAGAGTTTCCTCATCAGCTATGTGATGGGTGTTCTGACTTAGGAGTGGTGGGAGGACCTTTACAGATCTGCTTGTGATGTTCTAGAGGTCCAAGACCAATGCTAATGTGCCATGCTTACTCAAAATCAACTGCTTTATGCAGGTCCTCAGGGGCAAGGGGGTTTGGCAAATAGACATGCCGGCTGTGAACCTGAAGGGTCTCCTTCCAGCCATTTGTGAAGTCCAGGCCCAAGCAGTGAGGTGCATTTGTGGTAAAGAGAGGAAGCAGCTGCAGGAGGGGTCTGCTCTATGCTGACCTGTTTGCAAGCTATGTTATGGAAGTCTCTTCTTAATCTTTTGTGGATTTTGAAGCAGTGGGTTAGGTTGGCAAGCTGCAACACAGATCCATTCTCTCAGATGTCCTCCAGCACAATCATGTGTGATCAGATTAAAGGTGACTGGACAACGTCTAGACAGGAGAAAACATCAAAAAGCTAGACCTGAAATACCACAAATATTACTTTGACTCATTACAGTAAATTATCCACTGGTAGTGAGGCTTTGATGATATGTACAGCACTGTCTGAAAAGAGCTTCTCAACCCTTTCAAAGAACAGTTTTGGAATCTGAATAATTTTGGCAATATATACTTTACACAGACCATGGAAAAACAATGTTGTGTTGGAGGTGGGGATAAGATTGAACTCCACTGGTCATACTTTGCTGCCGCATGCATGGGGACGTCCATTTAAACCCAGGGAGTGAAAGGATCATTGGTTTTAGCACTTGGGGAATCACTGGTCAGTCTGCAGGAGAGCTGGTGAATGGAGTTGCAGCTTCTGTACTTCACACTATGTCTCACACAACCTCTTGTTGATGTGTGGCTGTAAATTCTTCCTTAGTGGAACGCTTTGCAACAAGCAGGAAATATTGAAAAGCAGCAGCTTGTGGAAAGCTATAGATGACATGATTATATAGAGAAAGAAGGTATTTCTATAGCACCTTATCATATCTAAACATCTCAAAGCACTTCACAGTAATTACCATTGACTGTAGTGACTGCATAAGCAAATGTGACAATCATTTGCACTAGAAAAGGAGTCAGAGGCTGGAAATTTCACCTCGTCTTAATCTTAAGAATAATTTGTTCTAAATCCTTTAAGATTGTGCACAATTTTGAAGAATTCTTAAACTCAGTTTTAATTTAGAAGCCATTTTTCGCAGTTCTTAAAAAAAATTGGCTTCTAAATTTTCCTTATCTTGCTATTTCCTTAAATGTTGCGAGTTTACGCATTTCTACATTTTAGCAGAGAGAAATTTCAGTTCTGTATCTTTAACAAATGCAATTGCACACTGAAAGGGCAATTGGGCATTGAAGTCACCACCTGCCGAACTCCACTCCAGAATGTATATATGTGCAACTGGAGTCATGAGCCAAGGCTTCAGGCTGTAAATTCTATCCTCTGTGAAACTCTGCCAGAAAGAATGAGCCACTGATCCCACAGACAACATGACACTTACCAACCAGACAGCTTCCTGCTGGAGCATCACTTCATAAGAGCCTGCATAAAGACAATTGTGAAAAGATAAAGGGATCCAGGCAAAGGTAATGGGAGCGTTAGTCGATATGTCCGGTGACAATATGGGCCTCACCTATTACTAGTATTTGACACAGTTTTTGAATTATATTCTGAGTGTCAGGATATTCATGTAAATAGTTCCCACAGTGACAATATTCCTCATCATCCACCAAAATTAAAATTAATCGGTCATTTGGCCCATTGTTGTGTGTATTGAATATTTGTTGGCAGATTAATTGCTGCTTTTGCCTGTATAACAGTTCTTGCACTTCAAAGTAATGTATTGTGTGAAGCACTTTGAGAAGTTTTAATTTGATGTGGGGCTATCAGATGAAAGGATTATTGTTCTATTATCAGCTTTTAATGTCAAATAATTCCTTTCTGGAGCTGTTGGGGAAGGAAAGAAAAGGAACTTCACGATGAAACTAACCCAAGCCAGCAATGTTCGGTTCCCAGGTAAGTTTCTCGACAGATGCTCAAGTGCCTCATTGAATGTGGATTTGCTGCCATCCATGGGGAAAAGAGCAGGACAAAAAGGAAACAGGAGCTGTGGGCACACAATGAAAGGGTGTCCACTATCAAAGGAGGAAAAAGAAAAGGATTTGGGTGTGATCGAATATTATTCACTGAAACTAACCGAGCAGTGTGAAACTGTTGTGAACTATGTTGCGGACGTTTGAAATGCAGAATAAAAACACCTAAAGTAAATAACATGCCTTTTAATGAGTTCAATTGCACAGAAGCAGATTCAGTACTGTACACTATATAGAGCAACAGCATTGTAAAATTGGCATCTATAGGAAACATATAAGGTTTTTTTATATTAAATAGGATGTGGAGATAAAATAAACCATCTAACAAAATACTGTAAAATTAATTCTCTTAAGAAGGAATTAAAAAGGTAGTGCCCAACCTTGGACGGTTCTGCTTGTGCAGTTTCATCATTCCAGTTCATAGTTCATAGAAAAAGCAATCATCCTCTTTTGCATCTCAAGAGTAACAATTTAGTGCATGTGTGCTGCCTCCTCAAAGTGGCAGAAGAAAATGTTGGGAAGCAAAACTTTCTTCCATTTTCTCCCAGCGATAGAGAAACTTGTCACAATGTAATCAGCACCAAGTGTCTGGACTTGTGGTGTAATCATTAAATACGTGTAGTTGGAAATCATCCACAACACAGGTGATATAAAGATTTTCCTTTTTGATGTTCATGTAATGATATTATATGAATGCAAAGCCCAAGTCATGAGATGAGTCAGATTTAGTACACAGCTCCAGCTACATTGTCCTGATAATGTGCCTCAAATCCAGTCTTAAAAGACAAGATCATTAATATTACCCAGTGGTAACTTTACATTTCCCCTCTGTTACTGGGGCCACATAGTACTGTATTATGTTTCAGGTCAATATTTTATCTGTTGGATATTCCATTTAGATGGTACAACTTGTACTTACAATAAACATTTTTCAATTCTTGTGCAAAGTCATTTCAGCTGATGAAACCCAGAAACCTATGAATAATTTTACATTGAGAACATAATAAAGTGCACAAAACAAAGTCTCCCGTCAGTCTCTGGGTACACTTTACTTCACTGTCAGGTAGAATCTGAGAAAGCTGGAAATTCATAACACAAGTTAGACATTGGCTTTCAATATATACTACAAAGAATAATAGAATTAAGGCAATCCTAAAATGTAGAGTGCTTTAAGCAGTCACCTTTAAAAGTTTAAATAAGTATATTTAATAAATAAGAGCACTATTAAAACTGTCTTTTCAAATATCATCTTAAAACATAACTAAGAAAGTTTTTTGAAAATGATGCAAGAACTAAATCATAAAGCATAAAACAATATTAAATGCTAATGTTTTAGTGAATTAAAATATTACTAAGATTGCATAAGTGGAGAAAATGGTTACGGTGAGAGTTGAGGGGAATGGCTGGCTTCTGTTTCCCAAACACACATCTCCTCCTCCTTCTGAAAGTGATCTTGGTTACAGGCCACATCTACTAGAAGATAAAGATCTAACACAAAACAAACATGCCCTTGATTACTCAGCTATATAGCACTGGCTAAATGTATGATTACTGTACAGATGTAATATGTTCTTGTTAAAATATTATTTTTCCAGATTTCTGCATTGTTCATTTTGTGACTTTACTTAGTTGTTTTTTTGTAGGAATGTACCCATTCCAATATCAATTGTTATATGTGAAATGAATTTGCTGGTCAAGGTCATGAAGGAGAACGCAGCCAGGGAGATGAGGAGCTATCCTATTTTGTTCAGGAATGGGTTAGGTAACTATTGGGAGTATTAGGAGGTGCTCTTATTACCCTTTGTATCAGTCTTTTCCTCCCTCTTTAGGCATTGAGTAGGCCTCCAAGAATGGGGTACTTTTCTAAAATTAGATGACATGTATGCCTTTTTAAGATCCACTGTGAACCATTTAAATCACACAAGGAAATGGTACCATCTTAAATATCTTTGATTTAAAAAGTGCATTTAATTGTCTGAAGCAGAGATCAGCTGGCGTCTCGTAATTATTCTGGCCATCAGAAAACATCATAATTAGAGGCACCTTTGTGCTCTGGTGAAACAGCTCTAAAAGTCTTTGATCCTCAGCAGCTAAAATTAATATCACCCGAGGATTTCCCTAGCAGTGATACTGAAAGAAAGTGATACCATGGAGATCTGGAATGTCAACTAAAAATGAAAGACTTTAGTGCTTGTTGACCAATTCAAAGTCCCTTACATCTGAAATGATCAGTTTTATAATGCAGCAAAGTTTTGTCAGCAACTGTGTACCCAATTCTTTGTGGTAGCATAATACAAAAGCAATTGGTGAAGCAGTGGGGGCCGGGGGAGAACCAGAACCTGAAATTTGTTTAGAATGGAGCTTGGGTGGGCCTGTTCCCTGTCTGTCCCTGCACTGACACTAGTACAGTCCTTGTGTGCTCAATTCAAAATGAGTACTAGTTTCCTTGCTTGCTTGTGCAGGCAGGATGGCTAGACCTTTGAATTTGAATCCTTCCAACAGTTCTTTGATTTGTTTGCTGATTGTACCCCTTACATTTTTTTACCAGCTAGATGTTTGATACTTATGGTTGACTCTCCAGTTTCTGCTACTAACAATTCATACAAGCTGAGTTTATTTGACAGTTCAGAATGTGCAATCTATGCCCACAGGAACCTACCATGCCAGGAAAAGACATTTGCAATTGAAAATGACTAGATTTTACCTGGAGATTTGGCTTGCTGACCAGTGCTTCGTCTTTGTCTAGATGTGACCGGGGTAGCTGAAGTATTATTAGCTGCAACCGTATCTTTAGACATGTCCAAATCAGAAAGTAGTGCTGAAATAATGGTTCTGGATCGATCAGTAGTCTGGAGAGAGTCCAAGGGGCCAGTCTGATAGTCAGTGCTCTGCACTGTCTGCAAGATGAAGATGTAACACCACCATTGTAGAAAGGGTAACTCAATAACAAGGTTTTGTAATGTCCAGCTATATAAATAGCTTTTATGAAATGAGAAACCTGTATTATTTATTGTATCAGATGACTTGTATTCAACTTTTAATAAAAGTTTACACAAACATTGAAGAAACAGAGAATCATAGAAATTACAGCACGGATTATTTTTGAATAGTGCCATGGGATCATTAATGTCCACCTAGACAGACCTAGACAGTTTTAACATCTCATCCAAAGATGGCACCTTTGCCAATGCAACACACCTCCAGCACTGTATTGCTGGCCAGGATACCAGGAGGAATTCCCTTCTGTTTTGAGTAGCGCCAAAGGATCTTTAATGTTCACCTGAACAGGCAGACAAGGCCTCGGTTTAATGTTGCAACCAAAGGACAGTGCTTCCAACAATACAGAATACCCACCAGCACTGCAATGGAGCGTCCACCTAGACTGTGAGTTCAAAGTCCCTTTCTGAACTCAGAGGCAATAGTGCACAAATTGAGCCAGCTTGACACACGATGCACATATGGAGAAATGCTTTCTAGCATCACACAGCATTCTTTCCATCTGTGCGCAGCCATTAAAATGTTGATGGGAAAACAGGGGTCAGCAGAGTTTTTTTTCAACTTCAAAAGTTTACCTTTTTCTGACAATAGCTTCACATTTGTTAGTATACGGCGGAAATTCCTGTATGTCAGGCCACCTCATCCAGCTGATGCACTCAGTTGTCTAACAATTACTGAAGAAAATGAATGACCAGCAGTCATATCAATAGTAACAGGTCAGCAAGCTGGATTAAAGCATAGGCAGGTTACCGCTGCAGCCTGTGAACATTCAATTGACAATGTTTGTATTTATGGTGAGAACTGATGCCTGAGGTATGGAAATGACCTGTTACTGAAAATCTCACAGCAAGAAGTTTCCCAATACTGACAGCTCTGCTTTGCATATCAGTTTTACAGCTTTGGGGACCTAACAAAATAGGAAGACAGTAATTTAACCTATCAACCCTGCTCCTCCATTTTATCAAATTACATTTGTATAGCGCCTTTCAAGTCAGGAGGACGGCCCAAAGCGCTGGACAGTCAGGGATACGCATCCAAGCTGCTGGTTGGGATCAGGAGGGTTTGAGGTCAGGGAGAGTATTGGTCGAGGGTGACAGAAGGCATGGTAGAAGAGGGTCTTGAGACTGGTCTTGAAGGAAGCAAGGGAGGTGGCGAGGAGAAGGGACTGGGATGGAGTTCCAGAGTGTGGGGGCAGAGAGGTTAAATGCCTGGCCGCCAATGATGCGGTGGTCAAGGTGGGGGACGTGAAGCAGGCTGGAGCCTGCTGAGTGGAGGGAGCTGGCAGATTGCTAGGAGGTGAGGAGGTCACAGAGGTAGGGAGCAGCAAGCCCGTGGAGGGCTTTGAAGGTGAGGACCAGGATCTTGAACTATAATCCTCTGTGTGATGGGAAGCCAGTAGTCAGGGGAGGATGAGGGTGATGGGGTCGCGGAGCCTGGTGCGGGAGAAGCCACAGGCTGCAGAGTTCTGGATGATCTGCAGCCTATGGAGGAAGGAGTTGGGGAAGCCGACAAGCAGGGAGTTTGCATAGTCAAGCCTCGATGTAATGAATGCCTGGATGAGGGTCTTGATGGCTTGCGATGAGAGATAGTGGTGGAGCTAAGCAATGTTGTGGAGGTGAAGAAAGGCGGAGTAGATCAAGGCATGGGTGTGGTTGATGAAGGACAGTTGAGGGTCAAACAGGACGTCAAGGTTCCGTATTGGCTCCATGAGGTATAGAGTGTATTTATGAAGGATGATGCTGTCAGCGCTCAAGTAATGGAGGCGCTGACGGGAGCCAATCAGGTGAGTGGCTCATTTCCCCACTTTTTCTCCATTTCTCTGAATATCAAGTTTCCATCTCCATTAAACACACCATTTGATGTCTGATTTATAGTATTCTGAGCCAGCGGATTCTATATACTCACAACATTTAATAGTGTGATAAAATGTTAGCATTAATAACACTGAATATTTTTAAATTAACAGAAACCTGTCTAGTTTCTTCTTGAAATATACAAGATCTAATACCCATCATGTTTTGTACCAAATATAATAAAATATCACATGATCTTATGAAGGGTTATAGTAAATAATGATGAATTATTTACATTGGCTGTTGAGTCAATACTGAGGGCACAAATTTAAGATACTCACAAAAATTTAAAATGGATCATTAGAAAATATCTTTGCATAAAGGTGGTTGAAATATGGAATTCTCTGATATAAACTGTCGTTGAGGTAGAATTCATAACAACTTTTAAAACGGAATGAAATAAATGTTTTAAGAGGAAGAATATTTTAAAGGGTGTGGAAAGTGGGCAGGAGAGAGGGATGGGATTAGCAGACTCATATGAACACCTGTGCAGATGTGATGGGGAAAATGGTCTTTTCTGTGCTGTTGCTGATTCTCTGAGGTAACATGAACGTTTATGGCTGGCCAGTCTCTTTGACACACCACTATGCGCACAGACACTCTGACATTTTCAGCAACTTCTTCAGCATTCTATGCCCAAGATCAGGTGAAATCCTTTTGATGTTTTGGGTATCATGAAGTACTGTGAGGAAAATCTGCTCCGTTCTTGGTCTTTACTGCTGCAAGTAACAGAAAACTATCTCTTTCAATAGCTAGTATTGCTACCAGCTTGGGATCTTTTAATTGGTTACAGTGAAGGATGTCACCTCTAATACCGGCTGATAATACACTGGGGCAAGAATCAAAACACATGTTGCGAAAGACATTATATAGATCTGAATGGCTCGGTTTACAAATAATGGAATGACACGACTCACTGTTGTACTTATCATCAGTCAGTTTGTATTACTAAATAAAGAATAGGAATAAAGAACATAAAGAGAGTATTGCGGTAATAATTGTTTTGAGTGTTACCTATTACACTGAGAGTGCAACCAATGGATGACATTTATCTAAAAACTCAGATGTTTGATATTTTAGAATTATATAAAAATCAAGTGTGAGTTTTTGCATCTATAAATCTAAAATTGCAGAATTTCATTCACTCAGAGATGCTGTGACTATAATCTAATTCTATCATGGACAACTAAAATACACCTCAGATCAAGGGCAGTTTAGTTGTCTCTCTTCAGGCTTCAACAGAAATGATCACCAACCTCTGTTGAAATGATTATATAAACCCTTCACTTTGGTTTTAGAACTTGAAAGCATGCAGGACATAGCTTAAAATTCCAATTTTAAATATATAATCTAAATTGAATGGCTTCCTGATAACGTCTTCTTTTGTAAGAGCTAAGATACAATGTTAATTCATTAAAACATCACTTGTTATTAAACATTCGCAACATGCTCATCAGTTTGCTTCAGATTGTATCATGTTCTTATGTGTTATTCATGTGTGTGTACAAACATATTTAGATCATAACTTACTCTTTCTGAGTTGGGTTGGAGTCCTTCCTCAACAAACACAATAGGTTGGAGAGATGTATTTTGACACAGCTTGTGCACTTCTCCACGTGTTGTGCACTGCTCAGGGGGCACAGTCTCAGGTATAATGCTCATAGTGATTGTACTCTTGGATGGCTGTGAGGTAGCTGAATGCATGCTGTCATCGGGTGCTGGCAGTGAACAGGTAAGTGCCTGGTGTCCTCCTACAACAAATGACTTAATCTCTGAGATTGTAGAAGTGAGGGACTGAATTTCCAAAGATTGGACACTGGTTGCTGCATTGAGTACAGGAGTGCTGGGGGCTTGCTGGGTGGCCTGTGGTTGCAATTGTGTTGGATTCTCTACTGCATCCATTTTCACCAGCTGAAGTTTGGGAGATGCCCTTAACTCATCCACTATCTGAAAGACAGTTTCCAAATTAACTTCAGATTTTTTGGATTCATCTGTAGGAGTGCAGTGCCAGGCTGCTGTACTGCTGTGTAGAACATCAACGGGATATGAAGGCTGCACGGTAGCATTCTGAAGGGCAAGAAGATTGAAATTGCTAAGTCTGCATTGCAATATATATTTGGCATCAAAATACTGTTAGTATTTTTTTAAAAGAAAAACATCTCCCTATATTTCATAAAGAAAGACTACTTACTTTGTAGGCTTTTCATTCTTTGAATGAAGGCATCCTCCACACCACTGGATTAAGTTATTGTCAACGACCAAAATGAGGAAAAATTTGTAGGAGTGATATGGTATTCCTTTAAGAAGTTGTGACATCTTGAGACTAACAATGTTAGTGAGTTTGTTCTGTTCTGAGACACCATAAAAGAAAAGCTTTCACCCAGGAAGCTTTATTTTCATTTTTACCTAAAGATCTGATTGTCTATTCTGAAACAGGGCTACAGCATACTACGTGAGACTGAGAGAGAACCTGGTAACATGCATGAGAGGTTTTATGGCATGAAGGTCTTTGGAAGAAAGATAAGTTAATGTTTGAAATTTCCTTCTTCCAAAAATGCACTATTTCTTCCTATTTAGTAATACTATTTCTATTTCTCCCTATTTAGTAATACTTATACAGTAAAAGAAGAAAGAATGCCTAAATAGGACACTGTGCGTCAGCCAAGCGCAATCTCCCCTCTGAGTCAGAAAGTTCTGGATTCAAGCACCATATTGGGACTTGGAATCACATAGTTTAAGACATTTATTGTCTGAGGTGCCATCCTTTGGATGAGACGTTAAACCAAGGGACCCATCAGCTTGTTCAGGTGGATGTTAAAGATCCCACGGCACCATTCAAAAAGAGAACAGAGTTTCTCCCATTATCCTGGCCAACAATTCTCCAAATTAGTTACTCTCTCCATGGGACATTGCTGTGCGAAACTGGTTGCCACGTGTCACCCACAAAACACAGTCAATCCACTTCAGATTATATCCTGTGAAGCGCGTTGAGATATCTCAACGATATAAGGCACTTTATCCAAATGCTAGGATTATTATTGTTATTGAGTGTTCCCAGCGACTTCTGTTTTTGTTTCAGATTTCCAGCATCTGCAGTATTTTGCGTTTTATTATTGTTATTAATGTTCAGCAGTGGGGATTCCATTCTAAAACGTATTTGGGATTTAAATAATAATAATAATCCTTGCATTTGATATATATTCACGATGCAGTAAAATACATTCTGTGAAGAACTTTGAGACATTTCAATGACCTTATAAAACACTATACCAAAAGCAAGGATTGTTTATTTAATCAGTGACAGGGATGCATTGGGATTGGTGCATTAGAATAGAATAAACCACTAGGTGGCAATGTAGAACTCTAAATTCCTTCTAATGCCTCTAAATTCCCCACTACTTTCACCTCTGTTGTAGTCGGTGCTTAAAGCACTGCATTCTGACTTCGATGCTGCTGCCGCCTCTTATGTCGTTGAAGGTAGTTGCTGTCTGAATTGCTATCTAGGATTTTTTGAACTTTTAAAAAGAGAAAAACAAACTGAAAACTGACTACAAAAATATACAAACAGTTCTGAAGAATAAAATCAATGAATAGCTATTTGCCCAATTAGGAACATGGACCAGTGCATCACATAATGTGATGCCTTAAATGTTTCTTAAAGGGGTGGGGCCCCTTTTTGCTTTTTATTTCTGTCGTCTGGGGCAGTGCAGGAGGATTAACCCAGTGGTTTGTGGAAGAAGCCGAATGAGAAAGAAAAGCCAAGTATATTACTGAATCCCAATTTGAATGCAACACCACTTTCTTATGTTATGGATTCCATAACACATGCAATAAAACATCAAATCTGTTATGAAACATTGTATGTTTCACGTCATTGGGCTGTTACTGTCATTGTTATAGTTAATGAGTAATAATATCCTTATTGGTCCAAACCAATGTATGTTGTATACATTATGTTGTGCTGCTACACAAATAAAATATTAATGGATAGGTACACCAGTATCATGACTGTATCTGGCTGAACCAACTAAAATGAGGCCTGGAAACACTGGAAACAAGAAAATTATATTACAACAGATATTATGTACGGAACAATGATCTGTAATACTGCATTTTTCCAATTATGTGCTAATTTAATTTTATAAAGTTTGTATTTACATTTTGACAAATTAAGAACGGTAATGTTTTGTTGTAATATTGAGAGTTGTGCTGCAAATCTGTGCCTTGATCAGGATTGGAGAATGAAACAAATCAATGCATGTTTTAAAAAACACCAAAGTCCTGCACAGCAATAGTTTATAAAATGAGATCAGCTACTTGTTGAGATCATATTGATTCATTCTGTTGCAATTATCCACAGGTAAGTATAGTTGTCAGTAAACATTTTCAGACTTCCTCTCGATGTGAAAGGCGCGGTATAAATGTAAGCTGTTAGCAGTTCAAACCTACCTGATAATAACTGTAGTTGGGATAAGATGAGGCATTTGTGTTGGGGCAGCCTGTCAGAGGATCCAGATGGGGGTTTGGAGGGCAGCATTGTAAGACAGCTAGAAAGGTGGAAAAACTTATCAGTAACAAATGTAACATTTCACCAATGTTTCTAGGTGGTTGCCACTAGCAAATGTCACTTTAGAATTTCAGAAAAATTCACCTTTTTCCACTTGGGTAAATGTATCAAGAATTGTCTGATCATTGGCAAATAATGTTCATTGCAGATAAATACAAAGTAGTGCATATAAGAAGTAAACACAGGTGGAGCAAAGTTCTGGGTAACATTGGTTGAGGTTAAATTCTCAGAACTTATTAGGTCATAGCCAGCTGGTGTAACCTCTATCAGAACCTTTGCAGTTAGCACAGACAAGTGCTGTTTCGAATCCAAACTTTCGGTGGGAAGGGCAATGTAGCACAGTTTTCCAGCAGAGTCAAAACTTGCAAACAACAGAGGTAGCACTTACATTGGGCAAGTTTCCACCAGCACTGGAGTTATTTTCTGAATACCATGTGGAAGGTCATGTGAATGCACTGCACCATATTTCCAATCTTACTAAACTGGCATTTCAGTCTTCATTAAGAACTGAATTCAAATCTCTACTCCAGGACATGAGTAGTTACAACAGGAAAGCTTCAAGGGTAAGTGGGTTACCAATAAAATAGTTAAATTCTGCAGTAGATAAATTACAAAATGTCCCAATGTGAACAAAGCCATCAATGGGAAATATTGAGCATAGGCACACAGAGAGGCAAGAAAAAGATCATAAAACAAATCATGTTGTCTGTTCTCACAGAACAGCATTGACTCTGCTGGAAAACTGTGCAACATTGCCCTTCCCAGCGAAAGTTTGGCTCATGGTAGTATCAAAAACTGGACAAAAATCTGAGAGAGGGTCACCTTACCATACTGTTGGGATGAGTTATTTCTGATAATAAAATAAAGTATTTTTTAAAACAAATGGAAACAAATTAATAGCATTTTGCAATCAGAACAAAATTGTACCTGTTGGATAGAAAGCCTGATGATATTGAGCTGGAGAAGAAAGAAAGCTAGTGTATTTCTGACTAGAAGCTCCAATCTCCTGGGATCCTTGTTGAACATGCATATTATTAGGACTTGGCTGGAGTGTGTATGTGACCTCAGTTGGAAATCGTTGTATTACAGAAAATGGAATTGTTTTCTCAGAGAATGGAGATGTAGTAGTATCCATTTGTCCAGCCATCAGACCAATGGAGCTATGCCAGGTACGTGCTGGAATAGGGGTTCGATCTAGGCCACCAGTGTTGGACCCTGACAGACCTTTAATAGACACTGTATGTAAAGGTGTTTGGTTGTGGGAAGATGACATAAATGTATAAGGAGATAAGCTGTCCCTACGGAATGTTCTTTGAAGCTGTCCAACAGTCACAGGTCCTGTAAAAACATAATAAAAGAAAATATTACAGAATCAGCCATTTTTACATGTCGGAACAAGAGTAAGTAACAACAACTACTTGGATTTATTTAGCGCCCTCCACGCTGGATGGCAGCTCAGGGTGCTTGAATGGAGTAGATTGAAATAGATTGTAATGCACTTGATAATGCTTCATAAATGCTGTTGTTTATTAGTTGGTCCAAGGACCATTTTACTCTTTTTCCTCCATTTGGTCTGACTCCATTTACCAGGAATCTAGTTGAGCAGGGATTGTTCCTTTGCTTTGAACCCATAAGTGAACCTTTGGGACAAGGTGAATGACTTCCCAGTTCTAGGACTGAAACCATCAATTGATGGAGCAAACTTACAGATCTAAAAATTGACTGAGTCTAAATCACTGCCTGACTGCCCTTCTCTATTGGTCAAGATCCCATGAAACCTGACAAGTACTGATCTAAAGTATTGGGTGGCACAATCATTATGAGCTACCAACATAGAGGTACTTGTATTCTTCAGCCGTTTTTGCTTCAGAGAAATTGGCAAGCTGAGACAATTGGGTTGCAGTGGGAACAGTGAAGCAATTGATATGCTTTTCAGTTGGTCCTGCAACAATCAAGCTTCTTCTGAATGATGATATTTAATTTTGAGAGCCAGGCTGGTCTGTTGGAAGTCAAAAAACCATGGCAGATGTTATGAAAATAGCTAAGAAAATAGTCAACTGAAACCTTACAATTCTGTCTTTTCCCAGCTTTAAGAGAACAACCTTAATAATAGTACAGAAAGTTTTCAAATTCAATCTTAATTTCTGATGCTCTTATAAAAATAACTGTTGGTTTTAAGATTAAGATCATGAGTATTTCAGGATTCTGATGTATCTTTCTTTGCCATTTACAATGATATCCAAACTGGTAATTGGTGCACATTCCTAAGCCAATCCAGAATCTTGGCATCTCAACTATCCTTTCTGCCCCACATCTGTGCCACGACTTGCTCTGCCTTCCCCCACCTCTACATCGCCCAGCTCCGCCACTGTCTCACACCACAGGTCGCCGAGACCCTCATACACGCATTCATAACATCGAGGCTCGACTATGCAAACTCCCAGCTTGGTGGCCTCCCCAACACACCCCTCCATAGGCTGCAGATCATCCAGAACTCTGCAGCCCATGTCCTCTCTCGCACCAGGCTCCGTGACCCTCACCCCCATCCTTGCCCGACTCCACTGGCTTCCTATCACATGGAGGATACAGTTCAAGATCCTGGTCCTCACCTTCTGCCACTCTACCCCCACCCTCTGGAACTTCATCCTGCAGTCCCTCTGCCTTACCCCCTCCCTTGCCTCCTTCGAGATCCGTCTCAAGATCCTCCTCTTCGACCATGCCTTTGGTCGCCCTCCTTGCCCCCCTGCCCTCCCCAATCCCAACCCCCAGCTAGGGCACGAAACACTGATTGTGCAGTGCCTTGGGACATCCTCCTGCCGTGAAAAGCGTTATACAAATATAATTTTGTTGTTGTTGGTAGTGGCGCAATATTAAACTGGTGCAGTTTTGCATCTCTTCAAAGGTGCTGAATGATGTTGCTGGGTGGGTAATAATTCCTGTCAAAATAATGATTAGAAGCTAAAACATCTTGAAAGGACATCAGCTCTCATGGGTTCTTCTGGCATCCAACCCCGTAGCCCGGCTCATTCCTACAGTACATAGAGGATGCAGAAACACAAAATAAATTAGAATGACACACTAGTTTATATATTTATTTCCAAAGCTTATTTATTTATCAAATCTGTGGGTCACGTGGTTTCTTTTTTTATTTGACTGTTTCTTAACTGAATAGTCCATTTAGCCCTTGTGTTTGTAGTAGAAACTCCATACCCTACCATGTCTATCTCCTTTGGGTTGGCTGATGGAGTCCATGGAGTTGGTGAGGTATCTCTGGAAGCGGTTGGGAGGTCTGGTGTTGACCTGAAGTCCAGCTGCCAGCTTGGCTTTATTGGCACTGGTAAGTCTCTTCATATTGATGAGCAGCTCTGGGTGGTCCTGCTTGAAGCTCGGGTTGTGGAAGTGATGAAGGAGACCATCTCCTGCACCCAGCTCCCCAGCCACTGGGTGCTCCCCACTGCCCTGCCCCATCTTCCTAAACCCGTAGAGGTTCAGCTGGCGGATGAAGCTGGTGAAGTTGGTGGTCTTAAAGAGCAGGTCGGTCTCCGGCTCCAGGTTGGTTCCGTGGTTGACATTTTTCACGGGGGTGAGCAGCTCGGATTCGAAGAGCTGTTGGTCCACGATGAGCCCTTCTCCCCTCGGGTCCCAGCGGATCGAGCGGTACCTGGGGCTGTTGACGATGCGCCATAGTTTGGCCGGGAAGTTATTGGGGTTAATGGGGGTGGAGAGGAGGAACTCCTCCATCTCATGGCTCACCACGGGGCTCATTGGAGGGAAGGGGGGGGGGGGAGACAAACCAGAGGGTGAGATGGCCCCCCGGGTGCTATGTGGAATCGAGCGCTGCCCTTCAGGGAGATGTCCAGAGATCGATGCCGATCGAAGCTTCCATGGAACCGTTACAGCGCCTTCCCGAACTCGCCGTTCAAATTCCAGTTCCGACCAATCAGCGTGCGAGCTGAGGCTCGCGGTCAGAGCACGTGCCCCCGCCCCACCCTCACGTGGCGGCAGCTCGAGCGCCGTGCAAACTACCACACACTGCGCATGCTCGGCCAGCCGGCCAGCCACCCGCCTTCTCGCCACACACTGCGCACGCGCGGTCTCGCGCACCTCGTGCTCTCTCTCGTCGCTTCGCGTTTCCGCAGCTCCAGTTCGCGCCAATTTGGCACCGAGTCTTTCGTTTGTCTTTGACGAACCGGCGGCCGCCAGAGCTCATCCTCACAGGAATCTTAATTTAATTCAGTGTGGCTGTGTAGGTAGGGAATGGTCTTGACGTTATTTTGGTAACAATCGCTGTTCATTATGAAGTGTTTTATCTCTATTCACTGATCGAAGTGCCTGAGAACCGCCTAAATGTCATTGCACCTCCAACTGGTGCAGCCTCAATAGGGCTAGAGATGTGTGACCCGAGCGGTGGGAGACACGATGGCAGGAATGTTTTCACGCATTTCATACAGAGCCGTGCTGCTCAGGGAGTTCCCGGTATCCGCTATCCATCAATGAGGGCTCACACTGTGCTTGTCCGATATCAAATAACCAACCTGGGGTGGGGGTAAGCAAGGTCTCCTTAGAGCTGAGCTGGCTCCAAGATAACATGCTTGCCAACTGAATGTCAGAATCAAGTCAATCCTATGTGGTCAAGGCACTCTGTTCCCAGACAGGCCGCAGTACTTTAGGGACAGCCGATGATTCACCAGCCAAGCTAACTCATGTTTGACTTTGGAGAGGCAAACTGGATGCAGGGATTCTTCCCATTCAGCTCTTGATAGCCCTGCAAGCCAAAGCCCAAGTCTGTAGGGCGAGCAAGCTGCTTGAAACATGCAGTGCTTTCATTGCAAGTTGTGCAGTTCTAGCTGGTTAACCTCCAGCGGTACCCCAGTGCACACTTTCGTGTCACCAAGCCCTTTGCTCATGCCAAGCTGGGTGTATTATTCTCTGGAATTAGGTAAACAAGATGCACCTCTCCAGGGAGAGAGAGTGCTTTCCAGTTCCAGACACGGGAATGTCCGTGTACGTGGTATACATGGAAGTGTCCATGTGATTTGGATACTGTTAAGCATGGTGAATCGTGTCCACATGTGTTATACACCAGTAGAACCAAATCCAATTATATTAAGAGTTGTTAAATTTTATTCTAAAATCATCCATTACACACCAATTAACAATTAGGTAAAAACAGAAAGGCCATTGAAAATAGCACACTGCAAAATGTAACAGGTCTAACATCTCACATTAGCACCTCAGCCTAACATATCGGCCTTGCCCCTCCTACCTCTCTGACCTGCTGTCTCCTATCAATCTGTCTGCTCCCTCCGTTCAGCAGGCTCTGGCCTGCTCCATGTCTCCCGCCCTACCATCGGTTATATAACCTGCTAATTAAGGTAGAGGGGAATGATCCTGATCAGATGGATGACCCTCCTTTTCGACCGTGCCTTCAGCCGCCCTCCTACCTCTCTGCCCTCCCTCATCCCAACTCTGCTCCCCCACGCTCAGGTCCTGATCCCTGACTGTTCAGCGCCTTGGAAACGTCCTCCGGACGTGAAAGGCATTTTACAAATGTCATTTTTTTGTTTGTTGTAGCAGTGAGTGTTGGTTCCTGGCTCACATTGTTTGCTTTGCAAAAGTTTTGGGGATGCAATAGTGATAGTGTGATAGTGTGCTGAATGCTGTTGTGTTGGTTTCTGGGCGGTGTGTTGGAACCCAGTGGCTGGAGGCGAGTCTGGTTGTGCTGCTGTGTTCAGAGCTGGTGCGCTGTCTGTAAGAGCTGTCAATCATGTCGCATCATTGGTGTGACTGGAACATGTGGCCCCGCCCTCTGCCGCCCCCGGAAGTGCAGCTCGCGTGTCACTTCCGGTCCACTCAGCAATGGCGGCTTTGGAGACGGTGCCTAAGGATTTGCGAAATTTGCGTGCTTGCTTGCTCTGTTCGCTAGTTAAGGTAGGGGAGAATGATCCAATCCTGAGGAAACGATATGAAATAAGGTTCTCCTTTTGCGGAAGCGTGTACATTCTCCCCTGGCCTGGCTATTGTGCTTTCCTTCAACGGAGGATATCCCTGTAACATGCACAACGATAATGACGCCTGGATTTTCCAGTGTAAATTCATTTCAAAGTAGTTTCACGTGGATTTGTTTATGGTTACAGTACCTTAAAAGTACCTTGTTTTTATTGTGAAAATAATGAAGCTAAACTCAGTGGGAAGCACTCTTGCCATTCAGTCAGAAGGTTATGGGCTCAAGTGCCATATTGGGACTTTGAACTCACATAATTCAGGCTAACACTCAGTAAGACAACAACTTGCACTTATATAGCGCCCCTGATGTAGGGTAGTGTCCTTGAGCAATGCAGTGCTGTCTTCTGCATTGTTGGAGAGGCTGTCCTTTGGATGAGATGTTAAACTGAGGTCCTGTCTGCCTGTTCAGGTCGATGTTAAAGATCCCATGATGATATTCAAAAGGAGAACGGAGTTTTTCCTGGCCAAGTGAAATTGATCATTCACTTCATGGCTGTGTGGGTTTTGCAAATTAGCTTCTGTGGTCACCTGAGAGATAGACAATCACTGCACTTAATGGCAAATCATGTGATGCACTTTTGAGATATCTTCCCGACTTGGAAGCCTCATATCAAATGCCAGGTTTATTATATTAAAAATTGTTTTCTAGCTGTTTTTCCATAAATGAGGTTTGACCAGCACCTTTTCTTTATTTTTAAAAAATCCTTAGCGTCTGATTTGATGCTGTTTGTTCATTGAAATATTGATACCTTAAACTCCAAAGAAAGTATTAACTATTTGCTTAAAATCCTGAATTGCATTTGTGAGTTATATTAGATTGTGGAGTATATTTGATGATTGTTTTTCTATTTTTTCAGACCATTGATCAGTTCGACTATGATGGTTGTGATAACTGTGATGCCTATCTGCAGATGAAGGGCAATCGAGAGATGGTGTATGACTGCACCAGTTCTTCCTTCGATGGGTGAGTTAACAGCAACAAAATTACATTTGTATTAAAAAAGTCATCTTTATGCTCAAAATTATGCAATTATAATTGTTCCGTTGATTTTTATACATTGCAAATCATTTGACTATCAGTTGTATATCATTTGATACTCGTGGAATCCTGTAGCTCAGTGGTTACAGCATTCGCCTTGCAAGCGAGAGACCTGAGTTCTATTTCCGGCAGGGCGAAATGTTGGGCAAGTTTCCTTACTCCACATACCTCTATTTACCTAACAGTAAGTAGAAACCCGGTTGTTAGTCGATTGGCAGGTTGCTTTTCTGGGGATAATAATCCCTCAAAAAAAATTTGGTCACTCAATGCACAACTGTTTGTGGGACACTGCTGTGTGCAATTGGCTGCTGTGTTTTGTCCACAATTATACAGTCAATTCACTTTACAGTATATTCTTTGAAACGCTTTGAGACGTCTAGAAGATGTGAAAAGTGCTACATCAAATGCAAGGATTATTATCATTTTGATGCAGAGATAGTAATAATAATCCTTGCATTTGATATAGCGCTTTTCACGTCTTCTAGACGTCTCAAAGCTCTTCACAGAAAATGACCAATTTATTGTTTGGAGGGATTATTATTAGACGTGTGGAGTAAGGAAACTTGCCCAAGGTTTCGCCTTGCCTGGAATTGAACCCAGGTGTCTTGCTTGCAAGACGAGTGCTCGAACCACTGAGCTACAGGACCCCACTGGGGCTGGAGAGGCTATTGTTTATTGGTTGATTTACCAACTCTGGTAATAAATTTCCACTGCTGGTAGAACGCTCAACTTTTCAGAAAATGGACAACCTCATCTCAGCATTTCCTTCTATGCTGGCGCCTTCTAAAAAAAATTTGTTTGATTTGATTGAGGAAAATTACTCTTTAGATTTACTGATTTTATTCCAAAACAAGCTGTAAAGATAAAGCCCTGCCTTTTGCTCTTTTCTGTTCTGTATTGCCCTAAAGCATATTGAATATATTTAAATAACGTGCTGTGGAAGAATACGATCCAGCTATGCTGTCATGTCCTTCGTGCCCAAAACCCAACTGCACCAGCGCTCTTTGGTTGATATCTAAATAATTAATGTTGAGGCAGAGTCATGTGCTGATAATTAGTCAGTTTATCAGAATAGAAGAATAGTAATTCTTTTTTTTTATATAGGATCATTGCGATGATGAGCCCAGATGACAGCTGGGTCTCCAAGTGGCAACGGACCAGTAAGTTTAAAACAGCCTGCTCTCTTCCTTTTCCTACCTTTTCCTAGTTTCTCTAAAGATTATATCAATGAATTGCTAAGGAAGGGAAAAGGAAAATTGAACGTTGAGGAAATATTGGTATCTTGTGTACATCGTGCATGTGGATCCTCACACAGAAGGTAGCAACAGTCAGCCGTTCTCAAAAAGTTCATCAATGAGTTATTGTATAATTGGGATTTCAAAAGACTGACCACTAAATATGAAAGGGATAAAGAGGTTTTGGAGCAGACATGAGTCAACATTTTCTGGGGGAAGTGGGCTGAGGATCAATGTCCAGGACGATCAGATCACCTTTAGAAGTTCATTGAATCACTTGGAGGTCCTTGCAGACTAACTTGTATTGCTAGTTTCTGTGAGGCTGAAGCAACCTGTAAAATAAATTATGTAATCTTTAGTTTGTGTCTAACCATATTGTTTTTCAAAATAGATGGAGAATACTCTACTTGTCAATCCTTATGTGCTGAGAAACCTATGGGTATAGATTGTGAATCCATGATCTGAAATAAATATGCAGAATCGATGTTATCCCCATTTCTAGGTTTTCCCGTCATCTGTTGTGTACTCAATTGTATAATAATCTGTTTATCTGCTTGTGTTTGAGTGTGTTGCTTACTGCTGTTTGTCTCTGTTGTCAGGTAACTTTAAGCCAGGTATCTATGCTGTATCAGTGACCGGACGATTACCCCAAGGTAAGCCTCTACAGCTATAAAACTCCTCTTTCAGTTAGAAGTATAATTGCAAATATGCATACTTAGTGAAATAATTACACATCTCTTCAATTTATTTCACAATTGGGTGGTCTATACTGAACTCCAAATATTACTGCTGAATCTTTTTCATTTCTTACTTTTACCAGGTTTGATTCAGTCTGAATGCCACCATGTAAAATAGCCTTTTTGCATTGCCTTAATGGGCTCTAATAGTATTGTATCCATATGCTCTGGTGCCTTGGTCTTGGTTACAGTTCACAATGTCTGTCTTCTACAGGTATTGTGAGAGAGCTGAAGAGTCGCGGTATGATCTACAAATCAAGAGACACTGCTATCAAATCATAACCAATTGTCTGCCAGTGAAAATCCTTCTTATGGTCTGATTTGGTCCGATCCTCTTACAAGTGGAATTTGACTTTTTCCAAATGTACCTGGGAACTCCTTATAATGTTCTTGCTGTAAAAGTACTGGGTATATTTTTCCTACCCTCTTGTGAATGGCACAATTAGTGAGCAGCATGTAAATACTACAGATAGGAATCTCCATGCACATACCCAGAATCAGAATTGTGTTTGTGTGGTTCAGAGTTCCATAAACATCTCTTCAGGAGAAAGGCTTGGAGACCAGAAAATGGTGCAGGCTGTCATTTTATAAACCTAGCTTTTAATAGACTCGTTTGTGCAGATTGCAATAAACAATTTTGTATGCAAAAATGTTCAACGTTAAAATTAAATAATACTGTACGACTACTGGAGTATTAGTGGAACAAAGACATTTGAAAGGTCCATATTGAATTGGAGTACATGGCTTCAATGGAGCATGGTGTGTAAAGTGGTCTGCTGAAATCTCTGATTTTCTAATCTAGGTAATACTTTTTCAGCGGAATCACATTGTTCCCTGTGGTGGTGTCAGAATTTTAGTGTATTTTAGTTCCAAGTGTATTTTCAGGTACAGAGTGAGGACAAGGACAATTGCTTTATCTCAGAAACTATCTTGGTAACAATGCATGGATGGAAGTTGTGTAGGATTGTTTATATTTACTCAACTGTAGTGGTTGGGGGGAGAATTTTGCTAATATTTGGGAGTAAATATTTACTGGGGGGATATTTAAGGGTTTCTAGATACAGGACAGAACCAAATAACCTTTCGTTGTTATCACTGGAATTGGAAGCAAGATGGGGAATGACACGTCAGAACAAGTTAGGCAAATGTGTACAACATAGGCACAGTTGCTTCTGTTATCATAAGCTGAATCCTGACTAACTTTCATTTCTCTTGTCAAGAGAACGTAATGCCTACTCTAATAATAATAATAATAATAATCCTTGCATTTGATATAGCGCTTTTCACGTCGGGAGGACGTCCCAAAGCGCTTCACAGAACACACTCTAGGCAAACACTTGTGATTCTCACAGCAGGACTGGAACATGGGGCCTTCTAATTAAATAATACTGTACGACTACTGGAGTATTAGTGGCATACGTCTGTGCACTCACCTCTGAGCCATTCAATAGCCTTGTTGGTATTTTACTGAGCGTTATGGGACTATCATAGTTGTTGCCATTACATGAAATGTGATGTAAAGTGTGAGCTGTTTGGAGAGCAAATGGAGTATGCTTTTTGTCCACTGGAGGGCATTGCTGTGACACGTTATAAATATGCTTTATCTACTTCAAAGTGGATTAGTTTTGTTTAGCAAAGACATTTTTCAGATGTCTCAACTATAGCATTGGTGCTTACTATGTGCACTGGTCTGAAGTAGTGCTGCTGTCAGTGTTTATCAGAATGGATTCTCACCGTTATTATATAGTTTAATATGATAATTGTTTTCATTGAACACATAAACACAAATCATAAAATGTGGGATATAAAAGAAAATGCTGGTAAACTGTTGCCCACAGGAAGGGGGAGTTTTTGTCAGGTGAACAGGATTTAATGTTCATATTAATGAATGAATGTTGAACAGCTCCACATGACAGACTTTCACGTGTTGTTTTTCTGCTCAACAAAACAAATACTTCAAATGCTTTATTCTCTTCACCAAATGTTGTGCAGAATCTGCTCAGTGTGAGGCTCCTTTTCCTTCCATTGGGGGATTTTCCACAGGAGTTTGTGCTCCTCTGGTGCCTCATCCAAGTGGCCATTATTCATGCATTAGCCCAGATAATGATTATTAGCATTATATTTGACCATAATGGGCAACACAGGACAGTGTCCACACATGCATCTTCCAGTGTTTATGTAGCCACAACATTGGCATAGGTACAGTTTTAACTTAGGCATGATGTGGTGCAGGTACAATGTTTGTGTAGACATGTCATTGGTGTAGACGAAGGGGTATAGATGCGGAAAGGGACCAGTGTAATGTAGGCACCATTGTTGATGAAGGCGTGGAGTGAACGTAGGCACACTGTTGGTGAAGACACGCCAATGTGTTAGCATGGTATGGTGCAGAAGCTAACTTGCTTGGTTTGTGGTTAAAAGAACACTGTTACGAGCAGCTCGCAACCTCAGCCAAGCCAGCCTCTGTCGTTTATCTTCCTCTCACCACACTGCTTGCATTTTATTTAGTTGCTGCTGTGCAAAGAGATTTCTGCCAATTCTAAAAAGGTCTTGAAGGGTTCAAACAGGATACTGGTTAAGTCAATTTATTCCTGTATTTGTGGATCTATTGTGCATTCAAAATATAAGCCTGATGGTGTAGTGAATAGAGCTACAGTTTATGAACGAGGTGCTCACTGCTTTGAATCCTGGTCTGTTCTCCATTTGCTAGTCCAGGGCTGCATGGGGAGACTAAATTTGCCCCAACCTTTCCAGTGTAAGGGGACGGGGGATGGTGGTGACATCTAGCTAGAGACCCTGCTGGTGGTCCCTCTACAACACCCTTCACTGGTGTGTGTGTGTGTGTGTTTAGCAGCTGGGTAGGGAAAGATCAGGCTCAACTGTGATATCCTCTGTATCATGTGAGCTGCCAACACTCACTCCAAGGCTCACATATGAACAATGGCTATGGAAATGTACCCAGCGAGAAAGTAATGTTCTGACATTGCAAGCTCTGGGATAGTGTTCTGCTGCAATGGGAAATACAACATGATTCATTGGTGTTGATGGTTTATTGGCCTGGCACAATAGAGAGTTTAGAAGTTGTGTATAATAATAATCCTTGCATTTGATATAGTGCTTTTCACATCGGGAGGACGTCCCAAAGCGCTTCACAGAACACATTGTAAAGTGAATTAACTGTATATTTGTGGGCGAACGCGGCAGCCAATTGCGCACAGCAATGTCCCACAAACAGTCGTAGATTGAAAATGACCAATTTTATTATTGTTTTTGGAGAGATTATTGTTGTGAACATGAGTGAATTTGATGTTAGATGGAATCTTGGAAAGTAATGTTATTAAGTTGTGTTATTAATGGAGAAGAGGTGAAACGGCTGGATTGAAAGATCTGCTGTAGATCTAATAAAATGGTAGAAGGGGCTCGATGGGCAAGTGTAACAGTGCATCTGTAGTTTGCCAGCCTAGACTCTAATCTCAAGTCCCAACATGGTGCATGAATCCATAACCTACTCCCCGGTGTGAAGAATACGATTGAGTCAAACTGACACTTACGAGAGATGTTTACTGAAGGAGAACTTTCTGCAGAGCTCAATGCTGTGAGCTTTGCACTGATGGGCTCTGATGCTGTGGTAGATAACACATCACACCTTATGTCAGTGGAAAGTTTGTTCCAATACCACAAACTGCTGCGTGCAGCTCCTCGGCATTTGTCAGCCAATGGCATCTTACCCAAAAGCAGCGGGTTCACCACACGCACAACAACCTCTCCACAGGCTCTGGTGCAGAGACCTTCTTGTATTGCTTCAGGTTAGCAGCAAATATACTAGACAATAAAAGCACGCTCCCAGCCAAAGGCAATCCCTGTGTCCAATATATAAGGGATCAGACTTTGGGTGTGATGTTTCATTTCCATTCTCCATCTGTAGCTGTAGATGGTACATGGCTTGTCTACGGGCACATTTTCCATGATAGATTAGGCATGTACCCGCCTAAGGTCTTGCCACATATCACAGCATCATGTCTGACTTTTATGGCAGCCTTTTGCATTCACTTGTTGCAGATTCCAGGGTGACAGTAAATCCAATTACTGTGCATAAATAAATAAACATTAGAGATCAAGTACAATGGATCCTGGATTCTTTACAAACATACACTCACACAAGAATCCATGTGCTCTCACACGTTACACGCTCTGTGCTTGTGATCTATTTTTACTGTGTTTGTAGCTCTTTCTCTGTTTCTCAAGTTACATTTTATTTGTTGATAATCACAGGAAGAGCCATGTGAAGATCTCCCTCAGCACTGGGCGCAAGGAATTGTGTCAGGCGGCAGGGACCATGGGATGCCCTTCAACTAATCCTGCAAGTATGAGGGACGAGGCGGTGGCTGCAACGTTCACGTTCATGGTGTGTGCAGTTGGACCCGTGCTCCAACGTGTGAGTTAGCACATTCCCAGAGAACACACAAGTCGTAGCCCAAGTGTCACAAGATAACGTGTTGTGTATGTTGGATTTGCGCCTCCACGTGTCACAGTGCACGGTGTCTCATCTGATACTGCATGTGCTCTGTTCTTTAACACAGATATTCTTCAGCCTATCTGCCACAATTAAAAATTTTGTGGCCTTATCTGCCATCATTAATGATTGCCTTGTATCTCCACCAAGGCACCTCTACTTCTCTACTCCATTTAAAAACTTACCATTGCAATGCTGTACATTTCCATCCCCCTATTATGACCAAAATCTACTAGTTTCCATTTTCATGGGATGTAATTGTGAAAACTGAGGCAGTGAAATAGAACCAGGGCAGGAGAAGATAACATTAAAATAACATTAAACTGGTGAAAGGGGAGTCTAGAAAACATCTTTACACAGAGTTGTGAGAGTCAGAAAGCATAGATACAGAGTTGAATGAGGTGTTCGAGAGGGAGCGTATGGGACATGGAGAAACAAACGGAAATGGAACTAAAGAATGTCATGAGTTAATGGCAGAGCAGACTACACAAGCTGAATGGCCTCCTGCTTCTCAGTTTGATAATGTACTAAATCGCCGCACTAAAGTTCAAGGAAGCGTGGGTGCTTGCTGCAACACCAGAAAGTTTTGGCTGACCTTTTCGGCTTCTCTTTATTTTATGCAATGTTTGGTAAGCTGTGTACCAGGTTGAAGATCCTCAATTTAGTTTTGAGGGTTGCTGAAAATGTAGCCTTAGACAATTTGTGAACATCTTTCATAATCATTTGCCATCCATTGAAGATGCAGTAGTATTTATTTGTTCTCGGAAATGTATGTTGTAATGTTCTGAAATGTTTCCCCAGTGCCCTCGGTGTGTGTGTGTAACCAGCTTCCTTTGCAGGTCTTCCTACAGTCCACATGTGGAAATGCCATTGGAGTGACTGAGTAATAGTGAGTAGGAGAGACTGACACAAAGCACCTAAAAATGACATGGAGCGACAGAGTCACAATCAGTAGCAGAGAAAGGCAGAACAGAGGGTAATAGTGAGGAGCAGAGAACAACAACAAATAATTACATTTGTACAGCACCGTTCACATCAGGAGGACATCCCAAGGCACAGGAAGTCAGGGGTTTAGACCTGAACGGTAGAAAGAAACATTGATAAGGAAACATTTACCATGGAGGAATCTAACAGAGGGTGAGAGAGAGTTAAAGTCACTATTCCTGGCAAA